GAAAGTATTCAACGCGGATCGCGATGCTGGTAACAGAGGAAGAGGAAGGCCTCCTCTGCGTTGGAAAGAGCAGGTGGAGAGGAACTTGGCTTCACTTGACATTTCCAATTGGCACAGAAGAGAAACGACTGGTGTGCTGTTTTAGACTCGGCCAAAATCGCTTAGGCGGTTACAGCGACAATAAAGGAGAATAGTTAATAACAGGTAAAATTACAAAATCGATTTCAAATCATTTCTATATGTAAGTTGGTTTTATTTTCCCAACCTCCCTAAATTGATTATAAATCGTTTCAGCTTATTGATTAATTTATATTTTTTTTTTCCTACTTATACATTTTCCACGACTGATTTACTGCTTCAAATTAGTTATGACATAATATATCGACGACGAATTGCCTCCACATGTGTGTGCATATGTATGTATGTAACTTTATTTGAAGGTTATGTAAAATACATTTATGACTTTGCACTCCTATTAGATTTCACTTAAATAAAGCAGAAATAAAAAATAAAATTACGACGGAGGCAATGGTTAATGTCAATTTTAATACTGTTAAATCAAATTAACTTACTGAGGAACTCAATCTTCTCAACGCGACCGCCAAAACAAAATTTAATGAATTACCGGAGGCAAGTCTAACGATTACACTGTGCAGCACTCGGCTGGATTTTGGACCAAACCAACTTTTTTTTAAGAGACTGAGTCATAAGTAAAACAAGTAATTTCTCCGTTTTTCGAAGTTAGCCTCCGATTAAGGTCTATATATCTAGTAATAACAATTAGCCAGAAGAAAATTTTTATGAGAATCTTTCCGTAGAGGTAGAAGGAGCTTAAAATTTAATTTTTAAAGCTAGCTTTTTTAGCAAAAACACTCCCGCTTTTGTTAAAAATGCTGGGTTTTCAAATTAGATGCTAAGTTAAGAAACAAGAATATAGAGACTACCTTGGTTTTCAACTGAACGTCAAGTTGGTTTTATTTATTGGAAATAATGCTAAATTTATTTGTACACGAAAACAATGACAGTAGTTATTATTTATGATCAGGGCAGGTAAAAATATGCAAATGCTTGAAAAAGCCTATTTTGCATATTTTCGGCAATTTTGTTGGTTTTTACGTATATGCATATTTGGCAACATTTCATGCATTTTCTGCGGAAAAGAAACGATAGATTCGTGAAACCAGGCGCATTCAATACATACTCCTGCTATCACCTTGTATGAGAATTCGCCTTGCGTGTAAATGTGTATGCATGTAGGTTTTTAGGTACATATATTTATTACATGTATTATTTAAAGTGACAAAGAAAAGTAAGTACATATGTTTTTTTTTTGTTTGTTTCTCCAATAAATATTTTAATTTTTTTTTACACATACATATTTATTAAAATATTTCTCCCATTGGTTTTAAAGTGATTTCGTGTATCTAAAAAATTAATAACCGCATATTATATATTTATTTCGTTGAAATAAAATCATAAAATTTCAGCTACCCACCTGTACGTGAGGCGGCGTACGCAGTGCAAACAAAACCGCATCGGCTATATTTTCTGGCTCCAGGCGCGCCATATGTTTGACATAGAAATGAATTTCCTCAGGAAATATGTTTGTGTTGACGGCACCTGGGCAGATACCCTTTGGTAGGTGACAAGGTTAAGCAGAAAACGAAATAGAGTATGTTTAAGATTTTGTTAATAAATATAAAGCAGTTTCTGATGAAATGTATGTAAATATAGGTTTAGCATATATGTAGCATGTAGCTTGAATGACAGTTATGGGCATTTACAATAGGGGTATCCACACGATAGTTCAACCAAATAGCTGCATAGCTGTGAAAGCCCTTTTTTGGCTTATTGTGTCTGAATCTGCAAAAATTGTTATCAACAGTTGTTTCGTTACGTGTTTGATGGAAAAATTAACAACGAATGCCAAAAACTTTTTTTTTTATTTTTCATAAAATAAACACAGCTGAAATACTTCGTATGCATTCGTGTGAGTGCGGTTTACCGACTACCAAGAAATTATCGACTTGTGCACCACCATAATTTGATGGTCGGAAGCCGGTAAAAAGATTCATCAGCACATTTTCAATACATTTTGAAGTGGGATAGGGCGTTTTTGAACCAAATTCTGAGATAGGATGTTTTTCAACAAAATTCTGAAATAGGGCGTTCTTGAAAAGTTTTTTGAGATAGGGCGTTTACGAACTGGCTGCCGAGATAGGTCGATCTTCCACTCAGCAATCGATATGTGCAAATCCTCAAAATGTCAAGAGGGAAAATTCAACAGATACAAAAGAATTTTAATCAAAATTTTCAACTTTTCAATTCCATTTCTTAGAAAAATTGTATTTAAACAATTTATTTTTATATAGAAGAAAACACACTTGAGACATGCACCTTATCATACCAAAATTTAATGGCCTACAAAACTGAAAATTTTGATGAAAATTTTTTTGGATTTCTTGAATTTTTGTCGAGTTCTATATGAAATTGAAAAAATTTATTCTGCTGGTGTTTTCTGTTGCAAGAACTATATTGAACAAAAACAAGGAATTTTCAAAAAAAAACCGACTTCAATTCTCATAAAAAAAATATATGTATGTATACATATATTTCATGATCCAATGATCGGATCTAAACCAGATTAGTATGAGACACTACCTTTCCGATGCAAAAAAAAATTATCGAAATCGGTTGACGTAGTCCAAAGTTATGCGGTAACATACATAAAAAAGAAATAAATAAAAAATAAAAATAAATAAAAAATAAAAAAATAAATAAAAATTAAAAAAAAAAATATTCCGACGAACTGATAACCTCCTCTTTGGTCGGTTAAAAATAAGAAAAAATTGGTATGGAGAATATAAAGAAAGAAACGTCAGCGTATTTATATTTTTGACACTGACTGTATGTACTATCTACGGATTGTGTCACAAAGCAACTGTACTTATAAGGAATATATTGGCACAATTCTCACTTGTACCTTCGTTTTTGATCTGGATTTTAAGTGTCCTGGTCGATTGGTTCAGGCTTATGGCAGCCCTACATTCATGTAGTTGACATTGTAAAATGTGTAGTATGCATGGTATTCTGGGTTTTGGTATGACATCGAACATCCAGAGGTCAATCAAGCCAACCTAATAACTCAAAATTGGTAAATTTCCACATTCATGCTTCTGGCATAAAGAGGACGATGTAAAATTTATGTCATACGCAAAAAATGTCGCAAAAAAAATACAAACAGGGTATTGCCATATTTAACGAAAGTAAAGTGGAAAGTATATATGTATATTAGAATTGGTCGAAACCAACATTTAACCTTTATAATAAGTGGTTCGGTTTTCGTTTCAGGTGAAACATTCGTGCAAAATGTCGGTTCGGTTAATGGTTAAGTTAATTAGTAGAAAAAATCGGGTTCCTGGTTCAAAACCGGTTCACGACCCAAATTAAAATACTAAGGACTGTCAACTTTTTACGTTACGTTAGTTACGAGTATTATACATATTTATAAATAAATAGGACTTGGCCAAGAGTGATAACTAATTTTCTCAAAAAATAATGAATAAATGAAAAATATTCAACTTTAAGGTGCTTCTGGCAGATTTAGCTATAAGATAAGCATATTGAATATAGTTTAAGTCAAAAAAGTTAAGAGCAATACTGTACATTACGGCTGGGAGTTCTATCTGGTTTTTTTAATATCCGGATATGCGAATATCTGATTAAAAATCTGAGTATCAGAATATTCGGATATTAACTACATGTCCTGATGAAAAAATCAACGGATATTAGCCAGATATTCGATACCCGGATAGCCAAATTAAAGGATATGAACTAGATATGAACGAATATTCCCAGCCCTGCTGAATATTCATATGTAGATACAATTGTACATAAATAAAAAGCTTACGGTGCTGCTATGAGTGTGATTATGTGCGCTATCACAAACTCACCGTTACTCGGACCTTGCTTTTGTGCAACTGAAATTCTTGTCGATACGTTTCCGTCATGGCTGTTATGGCAAACTTAGTCGCCGGATATATATTGAAGCTCGGTAGCACATCGATAAAATTCAACACTTGTTGTCCCGCAATGCTATTGATGATCAAAATATGGCCCTCATTGCCACGCTTCAGCATGCCTCGGAAGACTTCACGAGTACACCACAACACCGCCATTACATTGGTATCAATTACCTGGCGTATCTTCTCCGTGTTATTGTCAGCCACCAGTTCCGTCTCACGCGTAATACCAGCATTGTTGAGCAAAACATCTGCACCACCCAACATGCGTTCAGTCCAATCAAATGCCGCTATAACTTGATCCTCTTTAGAGACATCGCAGCGGCGTGGAATAAATTGGGGCTGCAGTGCTGGTGGCAAACTTTGCTTCAGCTCCTGCAGCTTAGCTTCACGACGTGCGAGGCCGACCACACGAAGACCTGCTATAACCAATGCACGGGCACAAGCGGCACCAATGCCACCGCTAGCGCCAGTGACCACCGCCAATTTACCTTGCCAACGTTCCATTAGATTTTGAGAGTGCTTTAAAAGACAGCTGCCTGGCAACTGAATAGCAAGTGCATTGCATTGTCGTTCATTTTGCTACGAGTGAATATTTTAATATTTATATTTGTATGTATTTGCGTATGTAGATACCTCTTTATGCTTTTGGATGCACATACATATGTACATTAAGGCGTATCACGAAAAAAAATAATTAGCGTGTGTTAGTTTTATTTGAATAGTTATGTCGAGAAAAAATTTTGGCTGTAAAATTTTTTTTAGGCTTCCGCTAAATCGCGTTTTTTGCTATAACACGATCAACTTTTTTACTTTCATATGTCGTGATACGGCTTAATGTACATGGATATATACAAAGATGACAGTTGATCCAATTTTTCGCAATATCGATTACCAGTTGCGCTTATTGGGCTTCTGCCGCTTGCAATCATTACATATCTCTATGCCAAATCATTAGCGTTTGCAGTCGCATTCAGCATGGAGCGTTGGCAAGGCAAAGTTGCTATGGTAACTGGTGCCAGCAGCGGCATCGGTGCCGCTTGTGCCAAAGCATTGGTCTGCGCTGGTTGTGTTGTTGTGGGGCTAGCTCGTCGCCAGGAGCGGATCGCGCAACTCCAACAAGAATTGCCAACTCGAGTGCGCTCCAATTTGCACTCCTACAAATGTGACATCACGCGTGAGGAAAGTGTGCGGGATGCGTTTAAATGGACCGAACAGAGGCTTGGCGCCGGTGTTGATATACTGGTGAATAATGCCGGTATTATAGCGACTACAGAGCTAAGTAGGGCACAAAATACGAACGAGATACGCGCCACCATCGATACGAATCTGTTGGGCACCATTTTTTGTACACGCGAGGCTTTCAATTCGATGCGTGAACGCAATATTGAGGGTCATGTAGTGATTATTAATAGTGTAGCTGGATTACAGGTACCTAATTTGGGACCAGATTTGCCATCATTGAATATATATCCGGCAACGAAGTTCGCTTTACGAGCGATGAACGAAATTTATCGACAAGAATTTCAGCGACACAAAACACGCGTACGAATAACGGTGAGTTGAAGGCGAATATGTATGTATGTATATTAGGCATTAAGCACATAACTTTTTTTATTTAAACATACTTACCTATGAGGACAGGATGATGAAAGACCAACCAATAACGTTTTTGTCAGAAGGTGGTACAAAAACTCCGAAAAAAAATACAATTTGTCCTTGGGTGGCGAAAGCATATGTACATACATACTTAGACATACAGAAACTTCCATATCAACTAATGTAGTAAAAAGGGGAACATTTTGAGATCATTTTTACTCCCTTTTGAATACTATTTTTAAAAAAGTGTGTATTCAAAGAATTATTTTACTGAAACAAGTCAGAAAATAATAAACATTCTTAGTTATTTTTTTCTTTCTTGTTAAAAGATCGATTACACTGTGCTGCACTAAAAAAAACCCGGGAAGTTATGTATATTTTCTGGTAGGTCTCTTTGAGTGAAACAAGAATCGAAATATGAAATTCGCCAAACACCCCGAAAATTTTGATTTACCGTTAAAAACCCGGTTTTCGCACTTTTGTGCACTTATAAGCCTGCAACTTAGTTGATTACGAAGCGAATTTCAGTTTATTGCCGGGTTAAAAAGAAGAAACTTAGGCCTTTAGAATGATATATATGTGAATGAAGAAACCTTATGACATCTGTGTGTATTTACCCAGCAAAAATTTATTTTTTACTTTTTTTTTGCATTTTTTCAATTTCGGTGTGGTTTTTACGCACTATTTTATAAGAAAACCATGATAGTCCTAAATTGATTGTAAAACTAAATTTAATAATGAGTAAAATGAACGTTTATTTTCAAAAATCGGATAAAAGTTTACTGAGTTAGTCAACTTTTTATGAAAACAAAATTTTTGAAAAAATTTTATTTTTGGCTCTACAACTCAAAAATGTTTGCATGACAATTTTTTTTTTAATTTCACATTGTCTATGATTTCAAAGTATGGCGATCCCGCGAGCCGCATCAAATAGGTGGGAAAAACGTTTTAAACGCCCTATTGGTTATAGCTGAAAATGTTGTCCTACCACCACTGCATTTAAAGCTAGGATATATGAAACTATAGGGGTATTCTAGCAGTCTTGCAAAGCCCTTGCACGTGTTCAAATCCATACTTTGCGATCATAGAAAATGTCAAATTAAAAAAAAAGGTCAAGCAAACATTTTTGAGTCGTATCGACAAAAATAGAATTTTTTCACAAATTTTGTTTCAATATCTCAATAAAATTTCATCCGATTTTTGAAAATAAAGACTCGTTTTATTAATTTTTTTATTCTCTCATCTGCTACTTTTTCATCGGTTCTATCTCTTGTTATGATTTTTTGGTATTTTCATAGGACCTCAAATTCGTAAAATTATGAGCGACGTGGGCTTTTTGAACAAGCTAAGCTCTGTAGAAAAACGTGCATGGAAGAGTTTTGTAGCGCTGTGCAATAATTTCCTTGGAAACCACAGAAGCGACGACTATGTAACGGTTGTTAAAGTCGAGGTCAACAGGCACAGCTTCCAAAACCTACTAACCAAGAAAACACACTTTTACTAAAGATTTTCAAAACAACTTGGCCAATTGAATAAACTCACCTGGAATTTGCAGCCAAAAATCGCTCTGGTACTAACACTTTAAAAGTTTTATTTAAGTTTAATACATCCTACCAAAATCTGTGAAAAACGCAGTTTCGAAAAAAACTGTT